TATAATCGAGTCGGGCTTAGGTTGGGATAAGGTTGAACCAAGCTCAGTTGAGTTCATGTTACCTGAGGGCTAGGTCCGAGCCATACCCAAAATATTAAAAAACCCAAACTTCTGGGCCAGGCCCAACACAAGGAACAAAAATCCAATCCTAACTCGTGTGAAATTGCAGGCTGGGGCAGTTTGGACTCGGGTTGGACCCACCTAAGTTGCACCTTTACCCAAAAGGCATGATGCCTAAACAATTGAGAACCAATCAACTGATATTAGGGCAAATTTATTAGAGTATATTTACAAAAAAAATGATATTATCTAAAACTTACCATGACTTTTCAAAACCTCTAGAGAACCTCCTTTCAATGAGTATTATTGTCCAAAACTTGCTTTCCATTAAGATTTTATTAGATCACCATTAGAGACCATTAATAGAAGTTATATATGTAATAATTTAATTAGTTTACATGACCAAATTACACTTGAATGGCCAATCAAGTTTTGTCAAATGTTTTTTTTTTATGACAAAATTACCTCTAACCTGGGCTAGGGCCCACACTAGGCTTGCAAATTTTGGAATCAGGTGTAGGCCTAATACTTCGAACCCAGCCTAGGCCTGACCTAACCTGCATATATTTAAAATATATATTATAAAATGTGAATAAATAGGAATAATTTTGTTATAAAAATATTTAACAAAGTTTGATTGACAATTTAGGGATAGTTTGGTAAAAAAAGTCATGGTAAGTTTTAGATAATATCATAAAAAAAGGGTAAATTACATGGTCCCAAAGATCCCTTGCACTTTTTGCGATAAAGACCTCCTAAACTTTTACTTTGCGACAAAGACCCCTAAACGTTAAGTCAAATAATAGAAGACGTTAAATTACCAAAATTCCCCACTAAACTTTCTCTATTTTCTCTTAAAACTTAAATGACCCAAAAATACATTTGATTGTCCCCATAAAAGGAAAAATAAATCTAATTTTCTTGGGTGAGAAATCTCCAAAAAAAAATCTATTTTTTTGGTGAGAAATCTCCAGCAGCTAGAGGACTGTTCATTGTCTTCCTCTTTTCGATCGACGCAGTGGTGGAGCGGCAGCAAGAGTTCTCCACTTTAGACATTTCCTTTTGAAGAGACAATAACCTAAACTAATCAACCATTAGAAAAATGAAAAGATATCCAATCTCAGTTATTTTCAACACAACTAAAATCTAATCTATCCCTAGTGATCATGAAAGAGGGAAATCAGTTTTAGATATAAACAACTAACTGTGATATGATTCGGTCTCTATGCTGCTAACAGATTCTTTTCAAAAACTATATAGCAAACAAAGCTTTTAGGGGGTGCTCTTTTTTTAGATTTTGAGAGAGGGGAAAGTTGGCCAATAGGATTTTGGTTTTCATTGACCAAGAATCCCTTGTTCATTTTTTAGATTTATGTGGGGATCAAGAAAGTTTATTATTTTGGGCATGAGTAAGTGATACTCATCTCTTAGGTGGATAAATAACTTTCCCACCCAGGGGAAAAGTTGCTGATACTTGAATGAGACAAAAATACCCTTTTTAATATTGAATTTTTAAGATTAAAATAGTCATTAAATTATTTACCTAAGAAATAAAATAACATGGATAAATACACTTACCCACATAAATATTTCTCAAAAAAAAACTTATCTCGATAATTACATTTACCGAGATAAATAACTTAAAAAGCGAGCCGGGCCTTAAAACAAAACAAACGCACTAAGGGAGGACTGGGTGAGAGTCTATATGTTACAAGAATTGGAACTACATAGTAGAAAGATGGGAATTACATTTACCTCAGCTTTGTTCTGTCTCCCCCCAGATCCCGACCGTTTCATAGTAGAAAGATGGGAAACTAAACCAGAAACCAGGAAAAATAAAAGAAAAATAGGGCGGTAGCAATCACAGATTTACCTGGTTGGGATTTTCGCCTAATATCTAATGTTGCAACAAGGAGATGTGAACTTGCTGAGTTCGGACCATTTTAAACCAAGAACAACACGAGCTTACAGTTGGGAGCTAACGGGATAATGAACCCACCACTGTGATTCTCATTCGATACTGAGAGAAGGATGGTTCCAAGCGAAGGCCACTACCGTCGATTCTGCTCAGTTGGTGAGGAATACAAAGAGCAGGGAAGTCTTCATGAAGCCGAAAATGGCAAGGGTGATGAAGGGCAGAGGAATAACAGAAATGGAGGGAAAAAATGCGGAAAGGAAAATGGCGTGGCCGGCTGGGTTCAAACTTGTCGCTGCAACTGCCTGGGTACAGTCGGAAACGGTGCAGAGAGAGGTAGAGTGAGAAGGGGAAAACAGAGAGAAGGAGAAAGGGAGAAGGTAAGAATGAAAAAGAGAAAGGGGAAGGAAACGTCCAAAGTGGAGAGCTCTTGCTGCCGTTCCGCTGCTATGTCGATTGAAAAGAGGAAGATGATGAACAGGGGAGAGAGCTGAGAGGAAGACGAATCACAGCGGGAGAGATCCGAGAGGAAGACAATGAGCAGGGCGAGAGAGCCGATTGTAAGGAGCAAATTAGATTTCCAACTACCAGAAAAAATCTTCAGATTTGGTTTCTTGCTTTCTCCGGTTACGTTTTGACGATTTGGGTTTGGTCGGAGATATATTTTCACTGTTGAAATAAACAAGAAAAGGGTAATTTGGGATTTAAAAAAATTAATATAATTAAATGAAAATCTTTTTTAGAAAGCATCAAATTGGAATAAAACAAGTCGTCAGGTCTTCAATCAAATTGGAATAAAACAGAGAAATAAAAAAGAAATGAAAATCTTTTTTAGAAAATAACTAAAGGAAGGTTAACGGAAGGGAGTTTTTGTCTAACAGGTAAAATTCAGGGGGTCTTTCCGCAAAAAAAGTACAGGGGTCTTTATCATTGACCCCATAATACAGGGGTCCATTATATAATTTATCCAAAAAAATTAGGATAAATTTTTTAAACTATCTTTATGGTTTAACTAATTAACTAAGTATACCCTTCCTTACTGTTTGAGTATTGACTAATGCTATCTTTATTGTTTCTGACAATTGACTAATACTTTCCATTAATATTCTGTCAAAAACCATTCAAATGTGTATTATGTGACTGTTAAACTTTCAAAAATACCCAACTTACTCTTATTATAACTTCCAACACCGGCTGTGATGGAGTATCTTATTGTCCCCTCTGCACCGACACTGGCATTTTCAAAACGGCGTCTCCAGCACCGGTACCATGCCAGAGACGCTCTCTCTCTTCCTGGAAAAATAAAGACTCCGAACCCTCCTCTTCTTCTTTCTTCTCTTTCTCTCTTCTTCTTCTTCCTCTCCTTCCTCATTTTCTTGGAGGTGTTCCACCATTACAACCTATCACGAGTTCTCAAAACCCACCGCTCAGTCCTAGCAAAACCCACTGCCCAGTCCTAATCATTTTCTTAAACCGAGCTCAAGCGACGAAGTAGCTCTAGGCAATGATGCAGTTAAGGAGCGGATGCCACTACCGAAACCAACAATCGCAGCTCTTTGGACCCTTCTAACCATCTGATTCCGCTACTCCATCTCTCTCCAAGCAACAAAGCAGTTATCGACTAAGGAGTAGGTGCCACTACCGAAACCAACAACTGCAAGGTCTTTTGAGCTCCTACAAATTCCGACGAGGTAGTGTTCCTATTTCCAACGAAGTGGTGTTCCATGAGTTCTGATGTAGCTGCTTTTACATTCCATCCCTCTACTCGCCACCTGATCAATGAACCTCAACCGTTCAATTGCAAGGTTGGTGACTGTGGGGACCAAATTCTCTGTCTTTAAATCTCCATCATTGCAAAGAGAGAGCGCTCTAAATCTCCACCTCTACCTGTAGAGTATGACACTGTTTCAAACACAATATGGGATTCCTGTTGCTTCTTTTTCACCAACGACACTGATGGAATTGCCGCAAATAGTGTTGCTTGCTATCGTCTGTTTCAAGGCCAACGCTGGTGAAATAGACTGCCTTAAAACAGTGTTGCTTTTCAAGGCCAATGCCGGTGAAACAATCTCCCTGTCCTTCAACCATTTGTGCCGGTCTGTTTCAAAGTCTGTAACTTCCACTCTCCCCTATTTTACTGTCCCCCTCCACTTTTGTCTGTCTATCTCTCTCTCTCCATTCTCAGAACTCCCCCTCCACCTCTGGTCTCTCTCCTTTCTCCCTTCTCAGACCTCTCCCTCTGCCTCTATCTCTCTGGTCTCTCTCTCTCAACCTCCGCTCTACGGTCTCTCTCAACTTCCATTCTCAGACCTCCCTCTCCGCTCCCCGGTCTTTTAGTAAATATTTTGTAATTTCAATTTTGATTGGGCCCCATCGAAACAGATTCTTGTTGCATGTTTAAGTTGTTTTATTTTGAAAATTTGAAGAAGAACAAAGGGTAGAATAGTCTTTTTTGTCTTTCTGTTAACGGGCGCGAACGGTAAGGGTACATTTAGCCAATTAGTTAAGCCATAAGGGTAGTTTAAGAAATTTGCCCAAAACATTATCATGGTATGTGATTTTTTCCCAGAAAAATTCAAGCCCGTCGTTAGGGGTGTTCATAAAAAACCGAAAAGCCAAAAGACTGAATCAAATTGATCGGTTTGGGATTTTTGAAAAACCGAAGGACTAGTTCGGTTTTCTGTTAACCTACAAAAAAACCGATGGTTAACTAAACCGACCAGTATATATATTTTTAATATATGTCACATATTTTCTATGTATTATATATAAATATATATTCATTATATATATAAATATATACTTATATTATATTTATAATAATCTATTTATAAATATATTATATATTATATAATTTTCAAATATTTATAATATATTATATATCATTTATTATTTATTATATAATATTATACATATATTTATATAATATATATTATAAATATAAAAAACCAAAGAGCCGAATCGGTGGACCGGTTAACCAGTGGTAGCGATTCGGCTTCGGTTTGAAGAATTGGAAAAACCGATACCACCGGTTCGGTTTACAAAAAAACTGCATGGTTCGGTTAACCGAACTGTACACCCCTAGCCGTCGTATGTCTAGTCTCTCCGGTCTCCGCTTCTCTTTGTCTTCGTAAGTAGGAGTAAGAAGACCTAATTGCCCTTCTTTTCTGTGGAGAATATACCGTCGCGGCGCTGCAACTTGGAGTGCCTTGGAATGGAATCGTTTGAGCTCTAGACCTTTTTCAGCAGACAGCGGCAACTCTCCAGGAAAGTTTGAATCCTATTCTATTCTCCCGAGCCCCGAATGTAATCCAACTTCAATTTGTAGGACGGACAATTTTTTTTTTTATACAGCATCGAGCGTTGCCCCTGGAGTTGGTAATTCAAGTTAAGGAAAGCCATCCATCTGGAAACAAATAAAGAAGATCAATTGATTCGTACAAGTAAATCCATCTCTACTGAGTTTGGAGGAACTGAAAATGGGTTTCTCGATGGTTGGTTTTATGGGTTCTCATGGTTTACTCAGCAACACTCATCAGAGGATGGTAAACTTCCATTTTGGAAATGGGAGGCAGGTCCAGACATTAAAACTCAATTCTTCTTATTGGTCGATTCCGTCAGGAAGAGTTTTACTATGCAAGCGTCAACCTATTGACTTTGAGGACAGAACAAGCCCCGATGAGGTACCCTAGTCTCTGCGTTTCCTCTTCATCTTTCAATTTCTATTTTTGATAAATTTTGATATACTTTTTTGTTTAATTTTAATGTCGGGGAAAACCCATTTGTTCAATTGTGGAAATTAAGTTACTCTCTTCGTTTCTAATAGAATTCCAAGGACCCTTTTTAGAGAACTATAAAAGTGGGTGAATAAGCTCTTCAATGTTGAAAATTGAACTTCATCTGTACCAAAATGAATTTACTCTACCAGGCAAAAATAACTGAGAATGCAGTACCATATATTCCTTTGTATGGAAAATACCCTTTTTGATATACTATTACAAGCCAAAATAAAAAAGAAAGAACAATTCTCAGCCTTAGTATATTTCATGTCCATATTACCTTAATTGTAATGGATTGAAGTAGTGAGAAATGATTTCAGAGACTGTAATTTAACAATTGACATGACATTGAACAGAGTGGAATGGTGGAATAGGATTCATGTAGCTGGAATAAGGCTTAGATTTTTTGATAAATGGAACAAGGCTTAGTTGAGTTGAGTATACAATGTACACATTAAGCTTATCTAGTTCTAGAAGGATGACTATAGACAAATACTTCTAAGAAAGCGTAAATACAACTATAATATAATTGGATTTATTTCAGATCAATTTAGATAAAGGCTTCAAGGAAATCCCATTATTATTTGTTTACATCTTAGTTCTCTAGTTGAACTATACCAAAATCCTATTTGCATTGAAGCTCCTAGGCAAAGTTAAATAGACAAAAGATTATGACTTTCAAATGATGTATTATGAAAACAGAATGTGTATTGCAGATGCTGAATTTTTGGGCCAGCAAAGCAACAAGTCAACTTCTAAACCATCTAGTATGATAGAAGTCCTTTACTGTGTTGTTCTTGTAAGTTGTAATCATCACAGACAAGGAAGATGATATGTACACCTACTGGTGCACTTACTACAATTTTAATACATTCATAGTGACTGGTTGTCTGGTGATCAACGTCATCTTGCAATGGATAAGTGCTCTCAGGACTCCAAGAAGGGATTTGGACCATTTCTAGATTTTTATGGTAACGGAAACATGTGATGGTCTGATGGAGATGGAAATACATTTCCACAACTTCCCATACTCCACGCTTTGGTTGCAAAAAACATGGCAAGAAGAATCCAGAAAGCGACTGACATTTAGGAATCTTTGTGTGTGTGTGTGTGTGCGTGCGTGCATGTGTGTATGTGGTGACCAGCTGACATTTAGGAATCTTTGTGTATGTGTGTGTGCATAAGTGCGATCAGAACTCTGTATTCCTTTTACAGAGTCAAAGCAACATCTTGTATTTCCTTTTATGCAGATGCAAATGATTGAACTGAATGATTTAATATGGATTAGTAAGCTTATGTGATAATACAGCTGCATGGTAAATCAGTCACAGTGATTCATACTTGCGGTAAGAAATGCTGTGATGAATTCTGGAGTATCACCAAATTGTTGGGAGATCTTGGACTTGTTTGGACACAAAACCAAGCTCTTAAGATGGTTCTATTGCTGATGAGGTCATTCAGCCAGCCACCTCACCTTTGTAAATGAGGTGCAGCCCTTAGGGTTGCTGCAGTTGCCATATTTTCAGACACCCTTTTTAGCCTAGAATAATTTCCAGAAGGAAACAACTCTTATAGTCTTGAGAATGGGATGGTCTATTTAGTCCTTCCAAAAACAATTTAGTTCTCCCTGTTTGGGGACTTATTATGAGCTGAGGTAAGTTGGGGTTTTCTTGCTTTTCCATGCGCAATATCTGCTATGTTGTCTATAAAGGTAGTAAGATCAGTCATTTCTTACTATTACAAAAAAAGCATGCTCTAAAAGAGGAAGATCCTTTATGCATTTTATTTACCAGTCCAGTTTTATTGTTTAAAAGGTGAGAATGGAGATAAAAAGATGCTATGAACTCATACAAAAGCTTGGGAGAGGAGCTGTATATCTGGGTTCGTCAAGATTGGGGCAAGATCATCCACATTACATGCAAGCATTGGAGCTGGCAAGAGAGGTGAACCACTTTATATTGTACTTTTTATCCCTTATCAAAATTCGATTTTTTTACTATATGTACATATATATACTCCAGTAGGAGACAAGAGGGAAAGTAGAAGATGGTTTGATCGTGTGCAGAGAAGACCATCTATAGCACCAATAAGAAGTGATCTGTTGTAACTTACAAGTTGAAGGGGCTAGAGGAGCTAGGGGCGGACAAAAAAGGATATGAATTTTAAATTAGTAAGAAATAATCTAAGGGCTCATAATTTAACAATGGATATGACACTGAACAGAATAGAATGGTGGAATAGGCTTCAGGTAGCTGACCCATATAATTGGGACAAGGATTATGATGATGGTATACATCTGCACTGTGCTGGTTTTATAAATGCACAAATGTTTGATACCCAAAAGTTCATACAATAATTATAGATGTGTTTGTCAAAATGATGAAAGAATAAGAAAATCATTTATGGTGGATATAAAACCATGAAATTATTTTCTGCAGATAGCAAACCTTCTGGATTGCACCTCATGGACAGGAGCTGGTCCTGGGCTCATGGATGCTGTTACTAAAGGTGTTCTCCAAGCAGGAAAGCCAGTTGGTGGATTTAAGATAGGCAAAGAAGCTAATCAATGGACATCCACAAACATTCATCCTTACCTCCCGTCTGACACTTATTTTACTTGCAGGTAAATAAAATTCAACATGCTAATGGAATTGGATATTGGGCAATCTAGTTACATGAACTGTTCAGAAATGCAGGTTTTTTTCTTCAAGGAAACATGGGCTGGTAGACGCTGCTGTGCGGGGTACTGTTTCAGATCGGACTGCTGTAGTCGTTCTTCCTGGTGGGATTGGTACACTTGATGAAGTGTTTGAGATTCTAACCTTGATTCAGCTAAACAGGATTGGCTCAGAGCTTCCAGTTCCCTTCATATTGATGAACTATGATTCTTTTTATTCCAAGTTATTGGGCTTTCTCGATGATTGCGAGGACTGGGGTACTGTCTCTAAGGGAGAGGTTGCGTCACTTTGGAAGGTCTGCAATGAAAACTCTGAAGCTCTGGATTACTTGGCAGAGTTCTATAATTTTCGGAGTGAAGAAAAGCTTGAAGTTGGGTTGGGAGGCAAGCATGGAAGTGTCTTGAGGGTTGAGAGCTGGGAGGGGAGCGCCCCAGAACTTGGTTTGGCAAGAGATTTTCCAGAAACATCACTTCTGTTTGAATGACCCTCAGAAACATCACTTCTACCCTACCCGATGGGTACCTGCCCATACCCTCCCTGATGGGGTAGGTTTTTTTTTGCTTGAAGGATGGGTTTTGGGATTCTACAACCCATACAGGTACCGTAGTAGGCTAAACCCAGCCCTATTCGACCTGCATATTGTTGGAAAGCATATAAACTTTATGTACTAGGTATTGAATTTAATAATATTTTTAATTTTATGTAAATGATAATTATTAATTTGTGTTTTTTTGAATGTGTTAATCAAATAATTGGAAATTTTGTTATATACTTGTGTTATTTTACTTATATATTGCTTATATATGACAATAAATAATAGGAAATTAGATGTGGGTTCTAAACCCAACCCACTCCTACCCTTGAATGTAGGGAGGGTAGGGTCGGAGAGGGTTTTGTATTTTCTTGTGCAAGGAGGGTTTGGATTTTCAAAATCCAACCAGCTCATTACGGGTCTTGGGGTGGATACGGGTTGAGAAGTTTAGGAAGGCAGATAGGGTCTAGAATTTACAAACACTCCACGTTGCCATCCCTATCCAAAAATAAATTTCCAGTACGCATTCTAAACTAACCGTCATCAATCTCAAAGTTTTTGAGGCGAAAAAAGAGCTAAAACTGATGCAACTACTTGCGCAGTTGATGCAACTACTTGCGCAGTTGTGTTGTTACTGATGAAATAGTGGACGCCACAAATAACCTTTTGCCAAATGCAATGCCACAGTCCCTACCCATAACTGCTGTACCAGACGATACCATGCAGAATGTGTTGTTTCAGGATCTATTGGGCATGATTGTTTAAAACCAGGTATAGTAGATTTGTATTTGCTATTTAGAAGAAATTAGTACACAGGGTTTCATTTTGAAAGCCATTTGATATCCTGTATTTGAAATAAACGTAATTCCTCCAAATGAAAATTGCATATGCCTTTCAATCTGATGAAAACAATCAACCCTATTTGGAAGTAGGAAAGATCAAGATGGTACTTGGAAGAGTGTGGCATTGCATTAAAGGAAGGGTTAACGATATTTGACATGCTATGTGAATATGATTTAAACACGACACTAAGCTTGTGGGTTTGGATTTATCTTAATTGTGTTCATGTTAAAATCGTATTTACCCATTTAGCAAGATTAATAGATATGTCAATTTTAGGTTGACCCATTTTATTTGAAAATGACCTATTTATGACCCATAGTTTCAAGTATTAGATCATATATACAAATTTGGATGAAATAATGGCATTGGATGGTTTTTATGAATTTGTTTGGATAATGAATGATTAAATGTTCATTTTATTATGTAAATTTATTTATTATTTAATTTAAATAGGTTAATGATGTTGGGTTTATGTTAATTTAGGTTATATGTGTTATTTAGTAAAAAAATTAAATATGTTAATCATACTAATTTGAATTATGTGGGTCATGTCATAGGTCATATTTGTGTTTAAAAATTTAACACAATTAATTAATCGTATTGTATTTATATCTGAATATTCTTATCTAAACATGATATAAATACAAGAATACAAATTGCCAGCATAAACGTTTAAGCGTGAAACCCCATGTCCCCCTTCCCCACCTAATTTGAAGAATCATCCAATAGAGGATTCCTTAAGGCTGTGTTTAGTTTGAAGGAAAAAATAGGGAAAGGAAGGGAAAGGTAAGGAACCTTTACAAACCAAATACAGCCTAATTGCTTCCGTGCAGGATAGCCTGTGTTTTCATTTCAAGTTAAAACGACTTTCACCAAATGGGAATATCCGATGTGGTGCGAAAACGGGAATGTGTGACTTCATGTTAGCAAACATCCCCAAAATTGATGCATTTCTAGTTTCAAGTTTACACATCCCATCTTTCTAATGGGGAAAGTGAAAATCCCAAAGAGGCTCTTATTGGCATCGGTGCATCGCTCGGACAATAGTGCTGGTGTTTTGATGATTCCAATGAAATATAATTCTTATAGAATAAAATTTTAAGATTTTTTTTTCAATTTCTTATCTTTATTTTAATCTTTTATTATTTTTTATTTTTTTTAAAAGGGAAAATTTCCGAACTAGTATTATTGATTTATGAAAAATCAGTAATTGAAATTGAATCGAACCAAAGTCAATCGGTTAACAGATTGACCATTTTGGTTAATCGGTAGTTCGGTTCGTCGGTTGTTTTGTTTTTACAATGTATATTATAAAAATATATAAAATATTATATTTTAAATAATAAATAATATAAATATATATATTTACATATTGATGGAGGGTGATTTGGTCCGACCTTGCAGCATAGGTACACGTGGGCGAGACCTTGCTCAAACAATGACAGAGTGGCAGTGCAACTGACATGACCACAACTCGGGGGAGGGTTCCATTGAGTTGAGCTCGACAACTGGACAGAGACTCCTCGCCAGAAGCCGTCTTGCCTGCGCCTCCTCCTTGGGGTTACGACATTTCAGGATACCCTGAGGTCGGGGTACCCTGACCTTTCTCGATACCCGAGCTCCTCCCGCTGGACTTTGGACCACTCCCCGACGGGAGCTCATCGACCCACCTCTAGACACCCCAGGGTGAAAGCACCTCGGGCCAGGTAGCTCGGCATAGCTTGCCACAGGCAACTCGCCGCTTACAGGATAGCCCGACGCAAGGTAACTCGCAAAGTGGTAGTTTGGCGCACCGCCGAAAGATCTCCTGCCCGACCACTGTACCCGACAAATCTGGGGACAGTAGCCATGTCCCTCGTCGGACAACGTCGCGCCTGTCACCTTTAGAAGGTGTCTTACACTTGACAGGCACGTACCCTGCAATGACGGCCCCACGCGTGCCATCTCAGCCTTGCCTGTAGTGGCTGTGGCAGACTGACAGTGGCGGTTATACTTGTCCTGTCAGAAGCCAGAGGGCCTGAAGCAACGAAATTCTGTTATAAGAAGTTGATTATCAAGGAACAAGGTATCTTCGAACCACCTACGCAATCTGCACTCTTAGCCTTCGTTTTCCCTTTGCTTCTCACACAGAAAACTGACTTAATCATCGGAGTGTTCTCGCCGGGCGAGCCCCCGGGAGTTCTTCTTCTTCCTTCTCGTCTCAGGTACCTTTCAGGAGCCACGTGAGTGCCAACTAGGAGTGACTGGATCGCGCTACATCAATTGGCGCCGTCTGTGGGAAACGCTTCGAAAAGCCTTTCTCCAAACTTTCACATCTCTTTTTACTCTCCAGAAACCCAACACTCATGGCTTCCTCTAGCAACATCGGACGAAGCATGGAAATGGATAACTCCAGGGAACAACCCTAGCTCCCTACTGTCTACATTGGACAGTTCACCGTCCCCCTCTCAGCGGACGGAATCCCCAGCTTGAGTGCGCCTCCTGCAGTGGCACCCGTCGTCGCGTCGCTCCTTGCTACAGTCGGAGTGACCTTCACCGAACCTTTGGTTGTGCCCCTAGTGGCTAGCCCGAACCAACTGGAGGACTTGGTGCGATGCATGCGGGCCATGCAGGCCCAAATGCAACAGTTCCAACAATTTCAGCTCTATCAACAACATGTGTTGCACCAGGTCTCCCAATATCAGTATCAGCAGTAGTTTCCCCAGTTACCTCAACCTCAGCTTCAGCAATCACAGCTTCCCCCTCGGCACCCAATCTCACAGCAAGCTAGGTCTCGCCGGCATGAGGAGTGCCCATCTCACTAAGGAGAGGCCCCCCAGAACCCTCTAAGGAGCTAGGCCTCCACCCACGGCAAACAAGAAAGATCAGCCACCCCGACCTCGCCACGGGCACTCAGGTCGGGAGGACCTCAGCTCGCCGGGCCCACGTCACCTCAGCCCTCAAGGCTTGGTACTCCGTTCCTAGAAAACCGATTCAAAATCCTGGCTGTAGGTTCCAAGCAGGAGCCCTTTGTCTGAAGCCATTACCAATGGGCCGAGCTACTTTCGGCACACACCATTCCTGACAGTACAAAAGTGAGCAGCACGAATGCCGAGCCCGCCAGGAAGCAGAGACGCTGCCGCCGAGCTCGCCAGTCTGCCACTCACGACCTACCCGAACTCAGAGGCAAAGAAGAGGTAAGCTCGGACGAGGTCAAGGCACCCATCCTTTCAGTTCAATCCCCCTATCTCCCAAGCTCCTAGCAGTCCCAATGCCCAAAGATTTCAAGCTCCCCCCTCTTGATAAGTACAATGGGTCGTTCGACCCAAATGATCACATAGATGCCTTCTAGTCGCAGATGCACCTAGCAAGAGCGAGTGAGTTGTGCATGTGCGTGGCCTTCTCCACCACTTTCAGAGGAGTAGCCCGCACATGGTACCGAAACCTGACGCCCGGATCAATAAGAAGCTGGGCGCAATTCGCGCAGGCTTTCACGTCCCACTTTGTTACCAGTAAGTGGTGCTCGCGAACTGAACAGAGCCTCCTCAACATAGTGCAAAGAGAAGGAGAATCCATCCGGGGCTACGTCAAGTGGTTCAACGATGCTTGCATGTAGATACCGCACTTGGACCCTGCTGTGCGTCTCGCAGCAGCTAAGAAAGGCATGACGCACAAAGAGTTCAGATGGCACATGGTCGTTAACCAACCAACGACCATAACTGAATTTCTTAAGCTCGCGGACAAGTTCATAGCCACCGAAGAAGAGATCAACCAGAAGGGCAAGAGCGCTCGAAAAGAGGAAGAGGGAAGGAGAGCCTTCCAGCCAAGGGGACAGCCGAAAAAAGAAGGATGCAACTCGGGGGGCAAAGCCAGGTCAGTCGTTCCAAGCTCCTGCAGCATACCGAACTGATTACACCCCACTGAACACGAAGTGGGCCGAAATCCTGATGACGATCAAGGACGCTCCATATGTGAAGTGGCCACCCCATTTGAGGGGAAATCCCAACAAGAGAAATAAGAATCTATATTGTAGCTTTCTCAAAGATCACAGTTATAGTACCGAAAATTGTAAAAATCTCCGCAACGAGATTGAAGAACTCATCCATTGCGGATATTTAAGAAACTTTGTACAAAACAACAATAATGATAATAAAGCAAGTCGGCAAGGGGAGCACGGTAAGGACGCTCCCGAGTCCAGCAGCAGGTCGACCGAGCAGTTGCAGAGGCAGCCTCCAGAAGAGAGGCCGGTCCGGGGCACTATCCACGTCATAGTGGGAGGATCGATCATTGCGGGCTGCACTTCAGCAGCAG